GGCGAATGGGGGCGCGATCTGGACAACAGGACCACCCACCTCCTGTGTGTCGCCTTCCGTTTAGATGTATAGGAGGGTTTCGTGGGTGACAACGCTTCGGGGGAGGGAAAGGCCGGCGGTGGGCTCAATGCAGTGAGAGGAGAGGGCAGAGGGAGGGGGGCGGGGGGGGAATAGCAGAGGCACATAGTCAAAAGTGTGAAAAGAAGGCACATACCCTGCTGCTATTGTTTTGAAGAATGGATCTGACCATCATTGCGGCCAGGTGATGTCCAGTGAGTGCATGTGTGAGTATAGCACAGGTGTGTGTGTGTGCTGTCCACGACAATAATGGGTAGGTTACAGACCCGTGCCTTCGTTTTTTTACCCTTTGTTTTCTTCCTCGCTTTTTTCCTTTCTGAGAAATGTACGGCACAGGTGTGCCTTCGTTTTTTCCATTTTTGTCCTTACTACCGTAGTAGGTGTGATATACTTTTATCGTCACCCCCCCTGGATGGGAGGACAACCAGCCAACCCAGTTCCTTACTTTTTTTTCTTCCTTACTAGATGGGGGAACAACACTTTGTTTTTTACGCAACAAAATTTTATATTCCGCAAGTGTTCGAGGCCGGGGACGTCACAATTCCACCCCGGCGAACTGAAAACAAGAAACGAAATTCGTTTAACTGGCTAATAGCCACGGCGTTGCCATTCATCCCTGACTTCATACCGTGCTACCTACCTACAATTCTACAGTCTGGCTGAAAGCCATGACATGAGATCACCGAGAAGATGGGGGAACAACATCGATCGATAATAAGGTGGTAATATTAAAAAGTTCTCACACACCGCTCAGTAAAAAAAGAGAAAAGAAAAAAAAAAAAATGAAAGAAAGAAAGTGAGTAATAGAAGTATATTGAGCGAAGCGATGGATGGTGGAGGGGTGAAGTTGCTGTATGGGCGAGCGAGCGAAGGGGGATTATTATGTTTAAAAAAAAAAAAAAACGGCGGATTATGTTTTTGGAATAGCATACAAGGAAAGAAGAGAGTCGTGGCGGAGAAGGTGATCGCCCTGTATATTTATATTTCTCCGGAAAAGGGAAGATAAAGGTTGACGTACCAGGAAAAAAAGGGAGAGAAGGTGTGCCCGAAAGAAAAAGGAGAGAAGGTGTTGAACGGAAGAGAAGGGGAGAATGAAGGGAAGATAAAGGTTGACGTACCAGGAAAAAAAGGGGAAAAAAAGGGATAGAAAAGAAAAAGAGTATAGAGACAAGACGGAACCGCGCCACGTATACATTGTGGTGAGCCACAGAGAGAGAGAGAGAGAGAGAGAGAGAGAGAGAGAGAGAGAGAGAGAAGTTCGAACTGACCACCCAACGTTCTGAATGTATCGCGACAATTTCCAGGTCCAGATACATTCAGAGCGTTGTGTAGTGGAGCCAGGCCCAGAGACTTCGCGGCCATTCCGCTCATGTGGGTCTAGTCGTTTTTTTTGTCTTTTCTTACAGATTTGCTTATGGGCCATCAATGATGAATACCCTCTCCGGGCTATTCTGCAGTTCCGCGAGGAGATGCCGACATGGAAAACAAAATAGGAGCCATGCCAAGTGGCTCGCTGCAGTACAGAATACTCTGCATGAATTTGGACGCTCTCTGGACCAGGTGCATTCGGACGAGTTTAACATTTGGAATGTATCGGGTTCAGAAAGCGTCCAAATTTTGTCCACGGGCGCGTGCGAAGTGTAGAAGGTAAGGCTGGCCGCCGTTTTGTCCACGGCTCGTAGCCTGCTTCCGCGGGCTTCCGTCCCGAATACAACGTACGGTCATTATGTCTGTATTTAGACTCAAAGATGCCCCAAATACAGCTATCATGACCGTGCGTTGTATTCGGGAGAAGAAGGGTAGCCTGGCCGCTGCGTAAGGATGACACGCATTTATGTAAAAAAAATAAAATAAAAAATCGATTGCCAGTCGAATCTGGACAGAACGGCCTTGTCCCCTTCGAGCGATACACAGAGAGAGAGAGAGAGGAGATGAGCATGGTCCCTGCGCAAGGATGACACGCATAAATAAATCGGGAATGGACAGGACGGCCTTTCAGGCCCTTTATTTTAATTATTTTAATTTTAATTTTAATTTTATTATTTTAATTTTAGGCCCTTTTTATTATTATTAATTATATTTTAGTATATTGCTGGGAATCCCGCAGCAGCCAGCCCGAGCTCAACGAGGGAACATGCGCATGGGGGGGGCGCACCCAACCTGCTGCAGTTTTTTTTTTTTTTTTCCAATTTTTTTTTTTTTACCCATTGGCGTTCTGATTCTCCTCCGCACAACTTCCCTTTTATTTTTAAACAATATTTTATTTTATATTTTATGTGGGTGGAAATGTGTTGCACAACTTGCAACCCGCCCAGCTGTCCTTCGGGACATCCGTTAAAATTGGAACGATACAGAGAAAGAAGAGTAGCATGGCCCCTGCGCAAGGATGACACGCATAAATCGAGAAATGGTCCAAATTAAAAAAAAAAAAAAAAGGAATTCGCTCTGATCAGTTCGATATCTGATCGATTGTGAAAAAAACAAAAGCGACCAGCGATGCGACTCTGTCAGCCGCTGGCTCCTTGGGAGACAAGAAAACGCGTTTTTTGGCATAACCGTCATCCCTCGCTATGCGTGGGGCCAAGATTTCGTCCCCGCATTATTATTATCATTATATTATTATATATGATATATTATTATATATTATATATTATATAATTATACTTTGTCTTCGTTGTCTATATTGGGACGTCGGCAGGCTCGTGCATTCTCTCCTCCTCCCAGTCCCCCTTCCTCTCGACGTCGTGTTGATGCTAATCTGCGGGGATCTTTGTCTTACCGACAACCTGCTCTGCCACGTCGGCGGCGTTCGTCTTTTACGCGCCGACCCCGCCAGATCACATCTGGCTTTCCAGTGGTGACCGATTCGGATCTGCGGGCAGACCTACCAAATTCTTGTGGTTTGACAGCCACAAATGTCTGCCTACAGGCTTATCAGCGTCAACGTTATAGTGCATCCCAATTTCTTACGATTGCGTATCAGCTTGACGCTGTTGAAAATCAGTTGTTGCTTGACCATAATAGTCCACCTGCAGAAGGTAGTAACTATACTTCCTCAGGAGGCTTTACTGTAAATGTCTTACAGTTAGCGTTTCACGGTCGCCACCTTCTTATGCATCATGCGACGCCAGGCGATGACCTCAATAACCATCCTCATATTTTTGCCTGTATTTTACATAGACCCGGGCATTATATGGCACTCATTCGTGCAGCTGCCCAGTGGGAACTGTGGGATGGTGGGACGATGAGTCAGGTCATTTTCGACGTGAATGAATTTTTGCGAGCGTTGTCGAATCATACTTTATTCTGGATTATTGACCGACTCTCGTGTGACGCCTGTCGGGACAGAGACGCGGTGCGCCTTGGCTGTGGAATGCATCATCTATGCCATAGCCATTATCAATCTATTGCGACTGCCGCCGTCTGTCCTGAAGGGTGTCCAACATTTCCTCATTGTACACATCCCTATCACCCAGATATACGTTGTCCCTATTGTGCCCAAGGACGCTATCAGAACTGTATGATGCCGCACTGTGATGAACGTCCTGCCGTGTTTTTGACATGTGGACAACACGTCCTCTGTCAGGACTGTTTTGATGGGATGGTTCGTGCTAGCCGTCCTGCAGAATGCTGTGCTGGCGCAGCTCTCCTTGGGCATCCTTGTGAACATCCACATCATCCTCACCGTAGCTGTCGTATCTGCCGAGGTGGGGTCAGGTAAAGAAAAAAAGAAGAAAAGAAAAAGAGAAAAAAAGAAAAAAAGAAAAAAAGAAAAAAGATACGTTCTGTGGGATGTGTTATTTGCTTTGTGATAATTGGATTATCTTTCTTTCCCTATCTTTCTTTCCCTGTCAGGTTTGGTTTCCTCCTCCCCTTCTTTACCTCTTTGCCTTTTGGCTGCGTGCAAGTGGGTCCTTGTGACACACGGGGATGGGGGCAGCCAGCGCTCAACCTGTCATCCACGTGGCTGGCCTTGTACGTAAGAGGTTATGAACAGGTGGAGCTTTCCTTACCTCTTCCCCCTCCCCCTTTTTTCCTTTTCCTTTTTTCTTTCCCCTTTTTTGCGCTCTGATTCACAATGTGACAATATATATTATTATTATTGTTATTATTACAGTATTATTATTTTTTTTATTATTATTATTATATTATGATTATTATTATTATTTTCCCTTGAAAACCGCGTCAAGATTGCGTCTCGCGCGATGGCGCGCATATGATGATGGGTTTTTCTTCTTGAGGAGAGTTGGGGGTGCGGAGGAGGGTAGGCGGTTTTTTCCCATCCGTGGTCGGGGCGAGCCTGGGCACGGATAAAGCGAGAGGGATCAACGGCTGACGCGGGAAGCGAACCGTGGGAGGATCGATCCCCTGTCCTGCTTCGGAGTACGAATGCGACCGGAACCAAACCTTTTTTTTTTTTTTTTTTTTTTTTTCCGGAGCT